CAGAGTTCATCCCATCACGAGCGCTCAGATTACCTTGAGGCTTGGAAAAAATACTAGGTCATTACGTTTTTGTGGTCTGGAAAAAAGAATCCGACAATAGCTTATATTCTTTTTTTCCAGTCGACATCACCACGGACTCCACCAACAAATCGTTCAAAAACGACAAATCGAAGACTCTCAAATCGAAGGAAAGCAAGACATCTCTCGGATCTGCCAGTGGACCATTCTCTCAAATGAAGGAGGCTCAGGAGATGAAGAAAAAGAGCAAGAACAGCTTCGATGCTGACGATGAGGATTGTTAAACCATTCGAATAAATGAAATTGCTCCCAAAGACTTGGAGAAAAAATATATTTTGTGTGTCCGAACCTTTAATATTTTTAAATATACTTTTCCATTAATCATAAATTCTGTATTCCGTTTTGCTTTTAATAAATCTCTTACAAGATCTGATTATGACTCAATTCTGCCACTTCCTTCTGACTTCTGTGAGACCTTGAACTTCTGTGAAAAATTCTGTGAAAAAGGCAGATTACTGTGGAAAATGCCGCAATAGCGCGTCGCGGTGTTTGCACACATTTTATTGTCGAATTTTTTTCACCATTTTTTTCGACTAAAATTTAAATTAAAGACCCTATTAGAAGCAACTAATGAACTTTTTATCAGTTGAAAATTCACCTAATTGTTTTTGCGCATTTTACTCGTTGATCGTATTGTTTAAAGTCCCCAACAAAGTTTTTTCAGATGGTTAAACTTGAAGAGGTAACAAATGAAAAATATTTCCCTCGTGGTGGAGGTTCTGACAGACCAAAACCAACTAAAGAAGGGTTCCCAACTAAAGGTTTGAAGGTAGGTGTGATACATATTGTTCCGTTTCTATTTTTGCAATTTTTAGAGAAAGTCAGCAGTCCCAGAGCAAAACGACGCTAAGAAGGCAAAAGAAGAGTCATCTTGGATTCCTAAAGTTGACGATTTCATTGATGGTCTAACTGGTCTTGGAGTTGTAGCTGAGCTTTTTGATGATGGAGTCTTATTGCACACCGCTGGAACTCACACCGTCAAAATTCACGCAGCAGAAGTCTCCGCAAATTTTACGGACCTGTTCAACGAGAATAAAATCGAGATCAAGGATGCGTTCCAGATCGGTCAAATGGTTCCATTCAGAGTGATTAGCAAAAAGTCTGGAAATGATAAAGGAAGATCGAAAGCAAGTTGTAATCCAGCGAGACTTAATAAACACCTCTCTCCAAATATGCTTGTTGCCGGTCTTGTAATTCATACCGCAGTGACCAGTTTAGAAGAAAAAGGAGCGATTTTGGATGTTGGACTCGATCAAATGACAGGATTCATTGAGAAATCACAGTTCCCAGCTGCAGGATTGAGAGAAGGACAGCCACTCGTTGTTAGAGTTCTTTCCACAACTTCTCGAGTTGTCAAAGTTACTTCGTTTGTTGAACAAGACAATTTAAATATGTCTAGTTGTGAGAAACTTCAATTGAATCATTTGATGCCTGGAACCATTCTGGAGTGTGAGCCAACAGGAGACGCTGTAACTGCAGGAGTTATCGTTAACATTGGAAACGGATTGAAGGGAATTCTCCCACGCCGTAACTTGCCACCACGTCTTCGAGAGAATCCAGAGAAGCTTGGAAAAGCAATTCGTGCTGTTGTCATGTTCTGCCAACAGAATTCCAAGGTCCTTGTACTCAACGCTCATCCGGATATTGTTGCAGTGAGCCGTGTTGAAAAGCGAACATCTTTTGAAGGAATCCAAATTGGAGACAAAGTACAATGCACTGTAGTCGATGTGATTCCCACGAAGAGTATTGTATACTTCACTTTGCCGCCAACAGATGGAAAGAAGTCTCTTGTCACTGCTGTCTCGTCGCGAGGTCTTTTGGAAAAGCCAGATTCGGTCGCAACAGAATACGAAGTCGGAACGGAGAAGTTCTGCAGAGTTACAGGATTCCGTTATGCTGATAGAGCAATCACAGTTTCTACGAGAAAAGATATTCTGAATCAGAAGATCACAAAATACCAGGTAAGCTTGTTTGAACTATTTGATCTGATCACATCTTTTCCAGGATGCAAAATGCGGTGACGTCCTTGATGCTCGAGTTCATCATGTGGCCAAAAATGGAGTCTACTTTTCGGTGTGCAACTTTGTCCAAGCCTTCGCTCCAATGAGTTTGCTATCTGATAAGTCTCTAAATCTACAAAAGCTCAAAGCCAAATTCCAAGTTGGTACAGAAACCAAGTGTCGAGTATGGCAAATTTGCGATCAGAGGAAAAATTTGATTGTCACATGCCGCGAACAAATCATCGCATTAAAAGGGCCATCAGCGAATAGTGTAGAAGAGTTGGAGATTGGAAATACACTTCCATGCATCGTCAAAAAAGTATTTGATTCTGGAGTGGTCCTTCTCGCCACATTCAATAACATTTGTGGAGTTCTCCGGAAAGAAGCCGCCATTCACTTACCAGCAACTCCAAAAGTTAACGATTTTGTGGTTGCTAACGTTGAGAAAGTCGAGGATAACAATCGAGTCGTTTTTGTCCTCCGTGATGCGAATCCAAATGCTGCATCTCAGAATTCTCAAAAGAAGTTGGCCCAAAGAGCGAAACCAGCTGACGGAGGAGTTAATATCGGAAAGGTTTACAAGGGATCTCTGACAGCGAAGAAAGGAGAAAAGGCGAATGTTACGTTCACCGGAGAGAACAAGAAAGAAGTATTCGCTTCTGTTGATGATCATCTACTTTCTGATCTCCTCGATGCTCCAATCGGTCTAACGAAACGATTGCTCGCTGAAAACAAAGAAGAGGTCTCCCGAATCGTTCCAATGGGAAAAATCGCAGCTGTCAATAGAGCGTGTGTGAAGAGATCTGTAGCTCGATTTGTGAAAGGAATGAAGCTACCGAAAAAGATTGAAGATTTGAAAGAAGGACAAGTTGTGGTTGGAGTCGTAGGACAAATCATCACTAATCTCGGAGTATTTGTGGAAGTTGTTGGAGGAGCGGGTCTTATTGGGAAGGTTTTTGAGAGAAGTGAGTTGATGCCAACAAAGTTAACAAAAACGTTTTATTAAAAAATTTTTAAGAGAACGCCAAGAGCTCATCGGAACTCCTCGAAGTTGGTCAAGTGGTGATCGGAAAGATTGAGAGCGTTGATGTCGCCAAAAAGAGCTTCTTGATTGATCCATGTGTGAGTTTTATTGAAAAATGAGAAAGGTAGAACCTGTAATAGAAGGGCCCCTAATTTGAGCCAATCACAGTAACTTTAATGATGAAAATGCTCTATTCCAGACTGAAATGGACAATGGCGAACATATGCTTGAGCAATACGCCCTTCCACTCTTGGAATCAATTGTCGAAGAAGTGAAATGGCTCGCTGAGCACTCGACTTACCCAGCTCCGGGCTCCAAAGTGAACGCAAGAGTCACCAAAGAGCTCGATGATTTGACACTTGTTGAATTCGAGCATAACGGAAAGAAGATTGCTGGAGTGGTACCGAAGAAAGCTGGTGATGATTCTTCTTCTGAAAAGGAGACACCCAAAAAGAAAAAGAACGCCACCAAGACATTGATTGTTGTGGATATCAATCACTCTACAAACGAAGTCGTTCTCGCTGCTCTAGCCACTGATGACGCTAAAATTGTTGCCATCCGTCGGGATTATCTCTGCGCAGTTTCTCCACAAGGACTCGTTATTTGCCAACTCGTCTCCATCCAAATCATCTTCCAGTCTCTGATGAAAAAGTGAAACTTCACATGGTCGTGGATGCGAAGGAGCCGAAGTTGGTGTCAGAAGGAGTTTATATTGCAACCAGAGGAGGCGGTGATGTTGATGATGTTGCTAGAACCAATCTTATCAAGAAGGAATTCATTGGAAGTGCCAAACCAGCAGAAAATAAAAGAGAGGATGGTGGAGAGCAAGGAAAGAAGAGTATCAAGAACTTTGGAATCTACACAGGAATCGTTTTGGGACAAACAAAGTTTGAAGAAAACCGAAAGAAGAATTCGCTGTTCGTTGATATTCGTCTACCTGGAGATAACATTGGACACCTTCATGTTTCTGAATTCCCGCCAAATCTTCTCAACGCCAAGAATCCTTTGGAAGAGTTCTTGGAGAGAAATAAGAATAAGCAAGTGGTAGTGAGAATTATTGGATTTGAAAAAGGATCGCAAGGTTCTAAAATCGCTCAACTCACCATGATCCCATCGAAAATTCAAGCCGGAAAAGTTCGTGCATCAGTCCTTTCCTTCCCATCGAACTACAAAGTCGGAGATATTATCAAATGCTTCGCATCAGCCACACTTACAGATAAGCAAAATCTGAAAGTAGAAGTGAACCCATTGTGGAGTGGATCTATCTCAAGGGAAAATGTTTCTGAAGACTTGAAAGCAACTTCTGCCGATGGAGGAATCGTTGATTTGTCACTTTCCAAAGGCGAGATGCGTCAAGCAAAAGTCATCGCTGTTGAAAGAAAAAGAATGTCTTTGGACCTGAATCTCAACATTTCCGATGTAGAAACTGAATTCAAGATTGGCACCGCTGCTACTGGACGTGTCATTTATGTTAGCAAAACGTATATTCGTCTGAAACTGTCTTCTGGACAACAAGCTGTTTTAACTCCAACTGCTACCACTGATAAATACGAGAGTGTGGAGGAAATCGCTGAGAAACAACTGGCAATGGGACAGTTAGTCGATGTCGTTGGTTTGAAAGTCGAAGGCAGTCCGTTACGATACTATGTTGCTATGAAGAGCCGCTTCAACTCGAAATCTTCTGATCCAAAGAGACAGTTGCTCACCGACGCCACAGCGATCAAGGAAGGAACTCAACTCGACGGAATCGTTGGTAACGCTTCCAAAGGATCCCTATTCATCGAACTGGGCCCTGGTATCGTTGGACGTATTCCAGTGAATGAGGAGAATCAGGATATGTGAGTTTCTTTTCAGAATTGTGTGCCTTCTATAATAAGTGTTTCAGTTTGGAAATCGGAACAAGCAGTGTGGTTCGTGTCACCGCCGCAAAGGTTGCCAAAAACGAGATTGTGCTGAAGCTAGACGATATTCTGATCAGAAAGTGGACCAAGAAGCCAGAAAGAAAGAGACATGCATCGAAGAGCGAAGGAACTCCATCTAAGGTTGCTCTGCTAGAAGAGGAGAAGACGTCGGAGACTGTAGAAACAGAAGATCCAGGATTCGATTGGTCGAACAAGGGCTTCAGAAATGAAGATTTGGCGGCAGTTGGAAAGTTGACAAGTAATGCCGAAGACGATAGTGATGAAGATGATGAGGACGAGGAGACTGAAGAAGTCAGTGACGAGGAAGATGCTTCTGATGCCGAAGAAGACGTTGATGATGAGGAAGAAGACGTTGACGATGAAGAGGATTCAGAAGACGACGAGGAGAAGAAGGTTGAGCTGATTGAAAAGTCAGAGGAAGAGCACTCAAGATTGGTTCGAAGTGACCCGAACTCTGCTATCAACTGGATTGAGTACATGAGTCTTTTTGTGGAAAAATCTGATTTGAAGGCAGCGAGAAAGACTGCAGAGGAGGCGCTATCTGCGATTAATCCAACGTGAGTTTCTAGATTTTGAACCACTTCTAAATTGTTTTTTCAGTGAATCCGAAGAGCTTCTGAAGATGTGGACTGCCTATCTGAACATGGAAGTCGCCTACGGAGACTCCACCACCGTCGACGAGGTCTTCAAACGCGCCTGCAAAAATGCCAATTCCTACACAATCTACCGAACTCTGGCGAAGATCTATCAAAAGTTCAATAAGCACGCCGAAGCCAAGCACATTTTGGAGCAGATGGTCAGCAAGTTCCGTGCCAACAAACTCGAAGTTTGGACTTTGCTCGCCGAGCACTTGATGAACCAAAAAGAGCAGAAGGGGGCGAGAGATTTACTCCCGAGGGCATTGAAAAGTGCGCCAAAGGCCCAACAGCGTGAGTGTGGTGTTTCCGGTTTACAACGTTTTGAAACATGGATTCTTTCAGATATCCAACTGATTTCTAAATTCGCCCAACTCGAATTCAAGCTCGGAGATGCAGAACGCGGAAGAACCCTTCTCGAAGGACTCGTCACTGCTCATCCCAAAAAGACGGATCTCTGGCTAGTCTACGCTGACGCTGCACTCAAGCATCTTGGCATTGAACATGCTCGGAAAATCCTGGAGAGAGCCTGTAACCGAGAGCTGTCGGTCCACAAGATGCGGCCGTTGTACAAGAAGTGGTTGGAAATGGAGAGTAAGCATGGAGACGCCGCATCGATTCAACTCGTAAAGTCGAAGGCGGAAAGCTTCTTGCAGTCTGTTGCTGATGATGTCATGGAAGAGGAAGATTAAGGGTTTTGCTATTCTTTATCTTGTTTTTTATTCATTGTTGTTTTGTTCGTTGTTATTTTTCTTTCGTTAGTTGAAAAGTTGTCTTTTTTTATACATACCCATTGTTCACCCCATCATTGTTCTGTTACTTTTATTATTCGCATCATCAAAAATAAAAATCTAAAACATATTGGTCCTTAGACTTTAATCATGTCTATTCAGAATCCTCTACTACCTACATACAGCTCCATTTTTTTCGTTCCAATTAATAACTGGTAATTATCGCTCTCCTCCAGATGGGGGATACCGAAAGTCTCCGAAGCTGCTATGACAAACTACGAAAAGCCGTCGGAAACATCCCAATGGATGCGTCCAAATCGGCGAAACTTCAGAATTTGTCGAGTGGCAAAATTTCAGAGATTCTCCCGAATCTTTATCTCTCGGGACGAACGGTCTCACAGAATTCGGAATTATTGAAAGAGAAAAATATACGAACAGTGATCAATGTGTCGGATCGAGAAGTTTTGAATTATGAAAAGAGTTATCCATTTGTGAGGAATTATCGATTTTATTCAATGTCTGATACGGCTGATGCGAGATTCGATTCGATTCTAGATGAAGCAATTCGACTGATCCATGAAACAAGGATAAGAGGAGGTGAGGAGCTAGATTTTCAGATAAAATGAAAAAAATTGATTCAAAAAAGTCTGAAAACTCCAATATTTCCACTAAGAACATCAATTTTAGTCTGAAATGTAAATTTGCTGGCTCTGAAAGTATCAATTTTTGCTGAAAAGGCTTCAATTCGTCTTTTTTCTTTTCGAAATTGTCAATTTTCGATTTTAAAATATGCGCCGCTCAAGTTGAAAGCGCGGTGGGTCTCACCGCGAATTGTCGTCGAGGATGTCGGCCTGACTACGGTACGCCGATATTTCGGCGCCAAATTCAAATTTCAAAACTATTTCGCCGAATAATCTAAACGAACAAAAATATTAGGTTTAACCCGCTTTTTATTAGAAAACGTAAAAATATTTAAAAATGTATTTGCTTCAGAAGCCGTCCTCGTCCATTGCTTCCTTGGAGTCTCCAGAAGTGCGACGCTCGTTGCATTTTACCTAATAACATCGTTTGGAATCAACTGGCGAGACGCTGTTGACTATATTCATCACAGAAGATTCTCTTCAAACCCTATTTTGGATTTTTACATCAATTGAAAATTTACTCGAATACAGTAAGCCAACTTGCTTCAAAGCAGTCCTAAAACCTTCAGAATTATGATTTCAGAAAGCCGCTGAAGCCCGTTCCCAACTAACCAGTCAACGATGTCTTCGAATGAGAGAATCTGATCGGGACGTCATCAAAAAGTACCTTCCACTTGCAGTGATTGAGCTTTAATTTTTTGAGCTTTAACTTCTATCTCTGTGCTTTCTTTTTCTTTTACAACGATACTCATTTCTTGTGAAATTTTAAATTCCTTGCCTGCCATATATGTATCTATTGCCATAAAATGTTTTTTTGCACTTCTTCTACGAGTTTTTTCCTATCCGAGTTGTGTGTTTTTCTGTGTTGTGATACTACTTACTTCTTTGGTTTGACCCCCTTCTAACCGTTTTTGCTTAGTTTCTAGATGGCACTCACCGATGAGCAACGCAAAGCGATTGCGCTGAAACGAGAGGAGGCGTTGAGGAGAGCGGCGAAAATTAAGGAGATGGAATTGGTACGGTGTTGGGATATTCAGAAATTCGTAAAATTTTGATATTCTGAAAATCCGAAATTCCAAAAATTCGGAAATTCGTAAAATTCTGAAAAGTCGAAATTCCGAAACTCATAAAGTCTCAAAAATTCGGAAATTCATAAAACTCTGAAATTTCAAAATTTCGAAAATTCTGAAGCTTATGATATTCTGAAAAGTCGAAATTCTGAAATTCATTAAATTCCAGAAATTCATAAAATTCCGAAAATTCTGAAAGTCGTAAAATTCTAAAATCCTGAAACCCTGAAATTGTGAGAATCCGAAATTCTGAAAATCCAAAAATTCTGAAAATCCGAAATTCATAAAATTCTGAAATTCATAAAATTCGAAAAATTCTGAAAATACAAAAATTCGAAATTACGAAAATTCGAAATTCGAGAAATTCATAAAAACCTGGTTACTGTAGTTGTTGTTGTGGTCCCTTTTGCAATTCTTTGCACCAGTTTTCTGAAAACAACTATTTTGCAGCTCACCGCCAGCTCTTCATCTACCAATTTCCCACCTCCAACTCGCCCTGTATTCCGATCACCTCCTCAAAACCGTCAACCAATGAAATCCACATCAAACAGCAGTATAAAGCAGACAACGATGAACAATTTTATCACTCAGCCTCTAAATCCGGCTCCGCCCACTTCCAACATCAAACCAACGATTGTCGTGAAACTGAAGCTAGATGTGGAGGATAGAGTCAAAGTGAGCGGACATCTGGACAAAAAGATTTATTAAAAATTCCAATTCCAGATAGAATTCTACCCATTCCACTCTGCAATCGTTGATCTTATCAAACAAGTCCCCAGCCGGAACTACGACCCGAACAAAAAACTATGGACAGTATCTCTCAGTGAGCACTCAACGATGAGCAATCTTCTGAAGAATGCGCAATCGGTGAAAGTGGAAATCGAGCCGATTCCGATGAATATTCTAGGAATGATGACGAGTTTCAAACCGAAACCCACACCGAGTGATTTGACGAAAATCATGGATCCAGAATTGATTAAACGGTTGTTCCCTTATCAAAAAGAAGGTGTTACTTTCGCTTTGGAAAGGAATGGAAGAATTCTATTGGCCGATGAAATGGGTCTAGGAAAATCGGTTCAGGCATTGACGATTGCGCGATATTATAAGTAAGGAGTCATTGGAAAACAAACCCTGAAACAAGCGGTAAAGATATATCGTAAAACCTGTATTAGATGGGCTGGCCCTTATATTTTTCCAAGGCATCTACAAAGGGCGCTCCTATTAGAGGGACCCTTTTATTAAAGGGACTCTTCTAATACAGGTTTTACTGTACTAATACACACATTGTAGAAAAGTATGTAGATTCATATAGAAACAAAGAAAACATTCAAAAAAATTGGGAAAATCTCGAAAAATCGCCTCTCGTCCATTTCTGGAAACTTCTGGAACGTTCCCGAATTTTTTTGAATTCCCGCAAAAACTGAAAATTCCGAAAATTTAGCGATTTTTTTGCAAAATTTTTATACCTTTTTAGGTTTAATAGCTATTTTTAAAGATTCTTTCTCAATTTTTCCGGTTTTTGCCTGAAATTTGATAGAACGTTTTTCGTGAAGATTACTGTAAGATTACTGTAAAAATCCTTGCATTTTGTAGTTTTTTTTCTGTTTTTGTCTGCATTTTGACGTGATTGTGTTTGCGAAAAAATCAACAGAAGGAAATTAGGTTTCTACAGTAATCTACAGTAATCTTTGCGAATACCATCCTGTGAAATTTCAGACAAAAACAGAACTATCAAAAATAGCTGGAAAACCTGAAAAGGTCTAAAAATTTTCCAAAAAATCGAGGAAAAAAATTAAAAATTTCTCGAAATTTTTGATGTTTTTTGGTTTTACATTTTTCGAAAAACTAGAAAAATCGCACGAGGGGGACTCAGATTTTCAATTTCAGGACTTTTATTGAAAAAACCCCGAAATTCCGAAAATTTTAAGAGCCGACTGGCCGCTGCTCATCGTCTGTCCAGCATCTGTGAAAGGCGCCTGGAAGAAACAAATCAACACTTTCTTCCCAATAATCCATCGAATCTTCATTGTCGACAAGTCGTCAGATCCCCTTCCCGATGTTCGAACATCGAATACGGTAGCTATCATGAGCTATGAGCAAATGGTTTTGAAGGCTGACCTACTTAAACGAGAGAAATACAGTACTATCATTTTCGATGAGTCTCATATGTTGAAAGATGGAAAGGCGAGACGAACGAAGGTGGCGACTGATCTTGCGAAGATCGCACTCCACGCCATCCTCCTCTCTGGAACTCCCGCTCTGTCCCGTCCATCGGAATTATTTACTCAAATTCGATTGATTGATCATAAACTATTTACGAATTTTCATGAATTTGCGATTCGATATTGTGATGGAAAACAGGGAAGATTCTGTTTCGAAGCGAAGGGTTGTACGAATTCTGAAGAGTTGGCGGCGATTATGTTCAGAAGATTCATGATTCGCAGATTGAAGGCTGACGTGTTGAAGGATCTTCCTGAGAAACGAAGAGAAGTCGTTTATGTGTCGGGGCCTACGATTGATGCGAGAATGGATGATTTGCAGAAGGCGAAAGCGGATTATGAGAAGATTAATTCTATGGTGAGCAGTCTGGAATTGACTGAAAATTGCGCAGAAAAGTGAAAAAAGACATTCTTGAAGCTTTATTTCGTGCAGAAATTCATTTAGATTCCCATAAAAATAAAGAAAGAATTTTTGAAAATGGCAAAATCGAAAATTCTCTTCTTATTCATTTCTGAAAAATTCTGAAGACTCTGAAAAATTAGCGATTTTTTCGAAAGTTTTTTTTTTCATTTTTTAACAGAATTTTGCAAAATTTTTAGACCTTTTCAGGTTTTCTAGCTATTTTCAAAGATTCTTTCTCGAATTTTCCGGTATTTTTTTCGTCTGAAATTTGAAGGAACGGTTTTCGTGATTCACGAATCGTGAAGATTACTGTAGGATACCGTAGAAAACCTTCTATTTTTCATAAATCAGTTTTTTCTACATTTCGACGTGATTGTGTTTTCAACAAAAAAAAAATTACAGAAGGAAATTCGGTAATCTACAGTAATCAAACACCGTTGCCATCGAATTTCAGACAAAAACAACCGGAAAAATCAAAAAAGAATCACCAAACTTAGATGAAAAACTTTAAAAGGTCTAAATTTTAGCAAAAAAAATCGAAGAAAAAATCTATTTTTCGAGTTTTTTTTGTCAGATTTTTTCAGTTTTTTGCATACTTGTAATATTCCGGGCCGGCCCGCCAAAGCCCGGGCCTGAGGAAAATTTCAAGGCCCGGTAGCAAAAATTTTGTCATTTTGAACCGAATTTTGAGCTCTCAATACAATTTTTTATATTTTTTTTTGTGCTTTTTGGATTGTTTGTCTGTTTGATCTAAAAAAATCAAAAAATACTCGAAAAAATATTTTGATTTAAAAAAATCACATAAGGGTCCCCCCCTATGTGTTTTTTTAAATTTTCAAAACTTGTGGAATAACAGGTCTGCCGGGCAATTAACGAGAAGCGAAATTTTTTCTTTGTTCCAATATGAATCCACATTTTTAGGTCTTTACCGCTCGTTTCGGGACCTTTACAGTAACCAAATTTCAAAATTCAAAAACTCACTTGTGCAATACAAAATGTACAATTTCCTGCCGGCACTTTTCCCGTTTCGAAAATGT